TAAAAAAAAACAACGCCTCCGCCCAAACAGCCAAAAACAACAATCGAAAAGCCCAAACAGCAAAACCAGACAGCAAAAATCAATTCTAGCAGGATACTAGAGGCTGCGAGAGCTCAATCGAGATTTACATGTTTGAGGTTTTGGCCCTGTCTGGACGTTGTGCAGTTGTGAGCCTGATGCAGTGCGTGCTGTGGCAAGTCAAAATAGATGTGCAAAGAGCGGTGCTGGGGGGAGCGCAGAAAGAACGTGTCCACAAAAATGATGGGCTCGTCCCGGGTCAGCGCATGCCTGTGAACGCGCCTCTGCAAATTGAAGGATGATGCGGCAACCCACCCACTCATCCGAAGCCGGGGCCAGCAACCTCTAGGTTATGGCAAAACATACTCCCTGAGGGAGGCCTAGGTGAAGCTTTATTTAGACTTCTGAAAGTGTTACCATTGTGGGGCATGTCAACAGGGTTTTACATCTCCGGCCTGAAGGCTAAGACCTGGAACTGGCATTGAGCTTGCCGTGCCGTTTGCGGTGTGCCAAAGGTTCCTGAATCCTTAACCCGTTTTGAAGATCCTCAGGTGCTAGGTCTGTGTGGCATTCACGAGAGATGGGCTGCCCAAGACATGCACGTGCTGAGGTGTTGCATATGTGGTGCCTGAAGATGCTGGGGTCCGGGCCTTTTCTTGGTTGTGCATGGATGCTTGTCAACAATATCCACTGATACATCTAGATTTTCTGACGGCGTCCACGTGCAAGGTCAGCTTGCACAGCAGCATAACACCATGAAGTGCATATTTTCCTGCAGCATCTCTGACGTAGCCACTTCCCTGATTTTGTCCGCAGTTGCTGAAACTTATGGTGGACAAATGCAGTCGGCGCCTCACAAGAGCATTTTCATTATCACGAAGGACAGTGTCAGAATAGACATTTTGACCCTGAGGCGATGTCAGCATCCACGTGCAATCTTCGGTGATCACCTCAACGGAGTGCGGCTCAGGAAGAGATTCACCCCCATTCACAGGTGTTTTATGGGGATGAGTGATCGGCCAAATGATGGGCCCCATGTTTTTTTTTCCTAGGCGTGGCTGTAAGGCTCTGCTCAGCCATGCTCTCCTTTCCTTTTGCTTAGAAGGGAGAAGGTCGGTCGGTCGGCGCGTCTTGACGCTGGCATGTAAAGTGTCCTCGAAACTCTGAGCGACCCTCTCGTTGTTTTTCGGCGCGTCGTGACACTGGCGCATGGAGCGTCCTCGAAGTTCTGGGCGTAAGTGGCGACACTCTCGTTGTTTTCCGCGCATCGTGAAACTGGCGCATGGAGCATCCTCGCAATTTTGGCCGCAAGTGGCGACCTTCTCGCTGTTTCCGGCGCGTTGTGACGCTGGCGCATGAAGCATCCTTGAAATTGTGGGCGTAAGTGGCGACCTTCTCGCTGTTTCCGGCGCGTCGTGACGCTGGCGCATGAAGCGGGCGTAAGCGGCGACCCTCTCGTTGTTTTCCGCGCGTCGTGACGCTGGCGCAGGGAGCATCCTCGAAAGACTGGACTCAAGTGGCGACCCTCTTGTTGTTTTCGGCGCATCGTGACGCTGGAGTGTGGAACGTCCTCGAAATTCTGAGCGTAGGTGGCGACCCTCTCGTTGTCTTCCGCGCGTTGTGACGCTGGCGAATGGAGCGTCCTCGAAATTTTCGGGCGTAAGCGGCCACCCTCTCGTTGTTTTCGGCGCGTCGTGACGCTGG